CGCCGCCCGCCGTCTCGCATGCCTGGTCTTGCAGCCTTCCAAATGCTGCCTTGTTCCGCTGGCTGAGAGATGTTGCCCCGAAGTCGTCGAGCGAGTTTGTTCGTCTCTTTTCACCCTTGTGCCAGAATGGGGAGACTTCCGCGTTAAAGGCGCCACCGAATTCTTAGGCTTCCAATTCGGTCCCGCCGCCACGCTCTCATCCCAATGGCTGAGCCCAGCGGCCAAATGGACAGCTAGAACGGCAGAGGTGGCCCTGAGCCGGGCACCCGCTGAGGCCAGCTGCAGGATTTATAATTTCGGGATTCTCTCAGTGCTCAGCTATGTGTGCCAGCTTTTCCCTCCCCTCCCTCTCTCCTCCGCTCCGAGCGTCACGTCCTTCACCGTCTCCTCCGCCTCCCTCCCAATCTCTTTGGCCTGGCTGAGCTCCTGGGGATCAGGTCCTGGCTGCGATCGGCGGTCCCTCGCTCGGTCCGAGCAGTTCAGCCTGGCGGACGGCGGCTCACACTCTTCGGCGGGACGGGGTGGGCGGACGGGGGGAGAGCTTTGAGTTGCTCCGCGGCCACGCCGAGATGCACGGCTCTTTCGGCAGCCGGGCTTCGGGGGCCCTCGCGACAGAGATTTGGGAGCGTCGGAGCTCGATCGCCGAGTTCCTGGAGATGGTACTCCGCTCAGGGCCACCTGGCATCAGGCCTGAGGCCTACACCCCAGCGGCAGCGGCGGCGAGGGCGGAGTTGACGGCGGCCGCCACCGAGGAGCGCCGCCCGCGACCGCAGCGAATCCTCTCCTCCTCCCTTGAGGCTTCGCTCTTCCCCGATTCCCTCCCCACCTTGCTGCATCGTCGTATTTCCTCGTGGCTCCCCGACCTCCAGCCGCTGCTGCCGGCTGATCTTGAGGCTCGGTGGGGTGGTTTAAAGGCGATTCTTGCCCGATCCCCCCCTTCGTGGGCATGGGTCCACCTGAAGACGTTGGCCGGAGCTTGGACGACTTCGGCCCGCGTTCCGAGTGCGCCCGAGGCCTCATGTCTTTCCGGGTGCCGTGCCCCCGATTCGTTCGCCCATGATCTCCAGTGCGCCCGCCTCCTCCACCTCCTCGCCCTTCCTCGTGGAGCCCCCCCTTCTTGTCCTCTCACTCGTCTGGGGCTCGGCCCCCACCCCGATCGCGAGATCGAATATCCACGTTTACGATGTCACCGAATCGTAGTCCTAAGCTTTCACATTTACCATAAACTGAAAGCGGACCTTGCGCGGCGGCCGCAGGCTGCCACGCCTCCATACCATTACCAGATACGATCTGCTGCATTAGCCGCTATGCGAGGCTAGTGCTGTGCAGTAGCTGTGGCACTGTATTCCCAGCTACGTGCGCTCCTCCTCCTCCTCCTCCCCTCCCGCCCACTGTCGAAACGCTGAATAAGACAACATTCGCCGGTACGTCCCCCTCGGCGCCGCCCCCCCTTCTCGGCCGCGCACGTGCCCCTCGGGGCCATGCTCTGCGAGACCCCCCTCCGTGGAAGGCCCCCGCCCCCCCTCTCGGAAGCCGGCCTCTCGGCGCCAGGGCTCCGCCAGGCCTCCCCCCTTCAGGGCTCGTTTCGATTCTTCCGATCCGATTCTGTTCAACTTCGATTGCTTCCAATTCCGATTCGATTCGACTTGGGATTCCGATTCGGATTCCGATCCCTCCTTCGAGGCCTACCAGCCTGCCGATTTCAAGGGTTCGGACTCCTCCCGACTGAGCTGCCGATTTCCGCCCATCCGAATCATTTCGATCGCCGATCCGACTTATCGATTCGATTCTGGGCTCTCCTGCCCCTTCGGGGAGGACGAGCCCCGAGATCGTGGCCTTGCAAACTTCGAAAGGAGAGAATGGGGTGAGGTCGGGGAGGAGGCCAGGACGAGGAGAGAATCAGATGTTGACCAAGCCAGGACGAGGAGAACATCGGGGACGTCGTGTGAGGATGCATCGAGAGTCTCTGAGATCCGGCGGCTCTGGAGGATGTCTCGGGCGCCGCGGCCGTTCATAGCGTTTCGGACCGTTCTGAGAGCAATCCGGAGCGCTCTGGGCCTCCGGGTGTTCGCCCCCTCGAGTCCTTGGGGACCTGGCACGCAATTGTTGTGTAACAGGCGTTTTCTCCCGGATTCGGGCCTCGGGACCCTCACAGATCGACCCGCCTCGAAAAGCGCTGCAGAAAGATGGGGTCTATAGGGCTCTGGCCGTGATTTTCGTGCTGCGGTATTTTTGGAGCAGGGGCACCTCAGAGCCCGGCGGCTTCTAAGCTGTCTTAGATCTTAGGAGCTTTCTGGGTCTTTAAGAGGGCCACTGCCTTCTCAGAGCCCTCCCCCCCTCTTAGAAGATACCCCCGCGTGCCATCCCTCCGTGCGCGCCGCCAAGGGTCGGGTCTGCATGCCAGTTCTGGCCACCGTCGCCGGAACGGTCGCCACATTTCAGGGGCAGGCCTGCAGTGGGCAAGTGGGGGAAGTGCACCTGGCAACGGCAACTCTCGTACCCAAACGAGCCCCTCCATCTCAGACGAGGTCGCCCGATCGATCGTTTGGCAGGGTATTGGGAAAGGCGGGCGTCGGACGGGGCTAGGACGAGGATACATCCGTTCCGGAGCCTTCCGGAACGCTCTCAGAGCGTTCCGGAACGCTCTGAGAGGGCCGCGGCGCCCGAGACATCTTCCACATCGGTGTGATCTAAGAGATTCTCTTTTTTATCATTCCCCAATCAGTGCTTTCATTGAAGGAGTCCTTGCGGAAATTGGAAGGTTTGGCGGAAGTTACCCGCCGATTTTGGTGGCCGGCTGGGTTCCCGGGTTCCTGGTTCGGGCTTCCGTCATTGGTTCCGGGCCGATTTCGCTGGGTTCCGGGTTCCCAGGTTCCCGGTCGGTCTCCTTATTGATTTCTTTGTCGATCCCATTTCAAACCATTCACTGATTGGGGTGTTTCTCTGGTGCAATTTAATGCGGGATGACGATTAATAGAAAAGGGGAGGGAACGATAAACATAGTTTTCTGTTATGCCTGTACAATTTTCTGACTGGAGGAGAACGATTAAAAAATAGTTTTCCAGCCCGCGGCCGGTTTTTTCTAATCGTCATCCCGGCAGCCGCCGCGTGAACACGACCCCCGGTCATTTATCAATCGTCATCCTCCATTAATCACCACCCGATGTTTATCTTCGCTTTGGCTGTGTCTTAGTATACCGGGACTGGCGGGGGTCCGAAAGCGGTCGCACGCAGACGGTCTCGGCCCCGCGGTATCGGGCGCCTTCTCCCGGACAGCATGTTTCTTCGCCACCCGCGCCGGCAGGCGCGGCGGGAGAGAGGGCTGCATGTCCATCGACAGGAAGAATATTTCGTGGCGCCAGCATCGCAGAGCGGTTTTTGCTCGGAAAACAATGGGATGGGCCCATGGTCCTGGAGAATGTCGTTCCGGATTTCGGAGTGACTTTCGTGCGGATGTTTTTGGGTCAGGAACGAAGACTGCAGAACATCCACGTGACATTCACTTCGTTTTTCGCTCGCCGTTTCGGAATTCTGCGTTGGCAGAAACCCACGCAAAAATCCGCTGCAGCACGTCTGCAAGGTCGGTGCACTGAAAGATTCCAGAATCGTGGAAAATGTTTCTTCTTGTTTGTTGCAAAATCCTGCTGACAAGAAAATTCGGTTGACCAGGAAAAATTGGAATAGAAGCAAGAATCGCAAAAACACGTCACCATAATCTTCTGGCGAAAATGGCTCAAGCCATTTTGCCTCAAGTTTTTGGCTCCCAAGCCTGCCCTGCTCGGCAGCAGCCGGAACACCGCCGGCGCGCTAGCGCCCCTCTGGCGCTTCCTCGGCATGCAGGTGCTGCGGTGCTGCCTTGCCGCGGCGGCCCTGGCTACCGCGGGCCTCGCCGGGGCGCCCGAGGCGACCTGCCAGGGCGCCGAGGCGGAGGAGGCGGCCATGGTGCAGCTGAGGCCAGAGGCCGCGAAGACGCGGTCGGGCAAAGGCCACACGGGCCGGCGGAGGAGGCTGTCGATGCCCCCGAGGGCGCCTGCGAGCCAGCCGGCGACGATGGTGGGGATCCCGCCGCCAGCGCCGGAGCCGTGCGAGTACAACGAGTACAGCTGGAGCTACTGCCTCTCTCCCGTCATGGCGTCGCCGTTCGACACGGTGGAGGAGGCGAAGAGCAGCTGCCTCTGCGACCCAGCCTGCGAGGGGGTGTACGACAGCGCGGGCGTCGAGGGGTGGAGCGGGAAGGCCTACGTCTGCAAGAACGAGGCGGGGCGCGGGAGCGAGTGGGGCAGCCACAGGGTGGAGGGGTTCCAGGGCACCGTGCACTGGAAGCTTCCCAAGATGTTCTCGCCCTGGGAGTGTTCTGAGTACTGGGCGTCCTCGGGCAAGGGCAGCTGCTGAGCGGGGCGGCGGCGGCGGCAGCGCAGTTGGACCTCGGCCCTGCCTGCACCGCGGCCTGCGGGTGGAGGCCCAACTGGGCGGCGGGGCCCGGCCTGGCTTCCAAGCGATTCCCTGAGCGCGGAAGGGCCCAGCCTGGGCGTAGGGCACGTAGGGCCCCCAGAATGTTCTTTGCTCGTGGGCAGAGGGTGTCCACATCGGTCCCTCTGTCTCTCTCGCTTCCCTCTCCATCTCTCTCTCTCTCTCTCTCTCCCTCTCCCTCGCCAGTGCCCCGCTCGAGGGGAGCGAACAGCAGCTCTCTTTTTGTCGGAGTCCTCGCGTTTGGGACGGAGCTTCCCGCCTTTCGAGTCTCTAGCGAGGAGGCTGGGTCTCGTCTCGCCTCGCCTCTTCGGCCTGATCGCTTCGACGGGCCAGCGCTTGTCGGTGACTCACTGCTTGCAGCGCGGGCCTCTCTCTCTCTATCCCCCTGCTGCCCTCCCCCACTTAGTCCCCGCGTTGAGCCAGGTGGTCTCGGCTGCTCGTGCTTGGCCCGTGACTCGTGTTTTTGTTGCCGCACGTCGCGGCCACAGGCACGCCGGCAGTGTCCACCCGCGTGAGGACATGAGCACAAGATGTCCGAGCCTGCCCAGTCTCCACGCGAGGCGAAGCTTTGAGCGAGCGTTCCGTCCAATAATCTCTTCTGGCGAATATGTAAGCAGTTTGTTGTTGCTCACTTGTTCCATTTTTCTTTCAAAATCCGCCTGTAGGAGGACATGCCCGACCAAATACTACCCTCGGAGGCGGCGGTGCGGGCGAATAGCATGGAGGGGGGCAATACGTGTATCCGATGACGCCCATGGCCCACCTGAGAGACGAGGCGCCCTGTCCGGCGAATGCGTAGAAGGTCCACCCCTGGTCCGCTTGGTAGACATCAGAGACAGTACTTGGATCGCCGCGGTGGTTGCTAAGGGGATTGGGGGATAGAGATGGATGCAAACGTGGGTCTTATCTTGCCTAACCCACGCAAGTAGTGTGTTACAAGTGCCGTTTGTGGCTTAGGATGGTGAGGTAACTCCGCCAAGTGGGATCCGCCCACTTAGCCAAGATCTGTGCGCCCTTAAGCCACTTAGGGCACGGGCAACCCACTTCTAAGCTTGGTCAGGCTGGATAGAACCCACCTCAGCATCCACTTGTATCCCCCTATCCTCTTAGCACCCCCTGCGGCGATCCAAGTACATGCAGATCAAAATGTCCAAACATACTTGTGGGGCCAAAGCCTGGATAGCGGAGCGCCACAAAGGCTTCCAACACCTATCGAAGAAGCCTTGGCGGCTTTTGGAAGGAGCTTCCGCAAAGGCTCCTGGAAGACTTGACGGCACGCGTGTTGGGAAACACTGAGAAAAAGGCCTGGCGGGACACGCTGCGACGTCGCAGCAGTCACTGCGACGCTGCTTGACCGGTGCAGAGCTCCCGGGCTGCCCTGCGCTGCCGGCTTCTCATCTGCAGCCTTTTTGCTCTCAGAGAGCTACCCGGGCATGTCCAGGTGTCCCGATGCAGTCAGTTCCGTGGAACATCCAGGGCGAGTCGAGGGACAGCATGGATCGTGAAACCTGCGCAAGAGGGAGGGAGAATTTGCTGATGGATGTCAAGCCTCCACAGATCTCTGTCAGGCCCAACCGGGGCCAGAACACGTCAGCGAAGCGTGTGCTTATCTTTAGTCATGCACCACGTTTTCATATTTTGATTCATTCCTTTCTCCCATCTGACCCTGGAGTCTCCATCTCCCAACGTGGATCCTTCGCCTGCTACTGGGGTCAGCCTTTCGGGGGTCAGGAAAAGATTGGCTTAATTTCGCTGATGTTCCTGGCTCGGGGGCTGCATCTTTATCAAAGCGATGCCTTCCTTGCACTTTCTGTGGCAATTCCTTTGGAAATGTTTGGCCCAAGCCAGTATTCCTCTCGGAGCATGAGTTTTTCTTAGCTTGCCCTTCGCTGACTCTGACCCCTCGTAGTCTGACCCCCATTAGCCGGCGAACGTGTGGAGGAGCTGCGGGACCTCGATCCTCGAGCCTCGACCTGGCACACTCGATTCTGGAACCTCGATCCTTCCACCTCGACCCTCGAGCCTGCGCGGAGGGAGAGGGCCCTCCGCGGGGGGCGCCCAGGTGCTGTCCTCCTCGTGGCGACTGGAGCCCGCCAGCCTGGCGGAGGCCGAGGGGCGGCTGAGGCCGCCCGGCACGCCCGCTTTCTCGCGCTCCTCAGCGTCGCCCCCGCCGCCGCCCGTCAGAGGAGGTCCCCGGCTTCGGGGTTCGACGCTTTCGGATGGTTTTTCGTTGGTTCCCAGCGGTCTGCCATCCTCGGGATGTTCTCCGGCCGCCGCGCCGCGCCGAGAGCGCGCTCTGGGGGGTGCCCGTGGATCGTCTCGAACGGCCGCGTGAGATCCGAATTACGACCCGAAAACCTGGCAACGAGTCGCGCCTGCCGCCGCCGTCTTCGTCGTCGTCGTCGTCGTCGTCGTTAACCCAGCCCGACACGCTGGAGTAGTCAGCTAACTTCAGGAGGCCTCTAGTTTGGGTTCCCCATCCCTTTTTCTCTCGGCTGTGAATGAACCGTCCCTCCTCCCCTGCTCCTGCTCCTGCTCCTCGTCCTCCTCTTTTTCCTCCTCCTCACCCATACTCCTCCTCCTCACTCCACTCCTCCTCCTGCTCCTCCTCGTCTTCCTCTTGCTCCTCCTCGTGGTCGTTATCGTAGTCGTCGTCGCGGCGGGGATTATGTTCCCTCTTTTGTTGGGCGGACTGGGTAATCTTGGGGGTTTCTTTTCCCCAGGGAGTATTCCAATGTGGAATACATCCCCGTGGACAAAACATATAACAAAAGTGGCACAGGGATGGACGCCGAAAAGATGTTGAATCAGACCAGGCGGAGCCCGTCGCATCAAGCGTCATCTGCCTGTCAATGTTACGGAAAGACGTCTCGTCTGCATTGCGCGTTGCATGTTAGCCATCCGATTGGCGGGAAGGAAGCCGCAAGGCAGAACGTTGAAACCCCCCACGCCATCGGCCCTGTGAAGGATCAACTTGGAAGAGCACCCGGGCATGAAGTGGCGTCCACCTCCCAATGTTGCCACTGGGCGCGCAAGCCAAAGTGTGGCATATCAATGACCTGGTCCATGGTGCTCGCCTGCGCACGCTGCCAACATTACGAGGCGAATATCACTGAAGGATCCTCTTTGGGCTTTGCCGTCTGCAGATCATGCACGATGACCGTCTTGTTGATTGTGTTATAACTTTCCCCGGCTGGGTATTCTACGCGCGGGAATGTTTTGACCATCTCCACAAGAGGTGTGTAATGATAATTGGCGATTTTGTTCTAATCGTGATTGTAATTGTTGTCCGAATCGCCTTTGTAGGCGCAATCGTAGTCGCGGTTGCAATCGCAGTCGTAGTCGTAATCGTAGTCGTCGTCGTCGCGGCGGAGATCATTGTCCCTTTACTGTTGGGCGGGACCGATAATGTTGGGAGGTCATTTGTTTCACCGGGCATTATCCCTGTTAGGACGCGCAAGAGGATATGTGATCACTTCCGCGTCAGGATTGCAATTCGAATCAGCGCGTGTGGTTGTAGTTGCGATTGCAGTCGCGATTGTAATCGTGATTCGAAATATGATTATAGTCGCCGTTGTAGTCGTAATCGTAGTCGCGGTTGTAGTCGTAATCGTAATCATAATCATAGTCGTCGTCGAAGCGGCGGAGATCCTTTCCTCTCTATTGTTGGGCGGGCTGGGTACTATTTCTTTTGTTGTCCAGGGTGCTGGGGCATCTCAAGTGGAGTGCCATGGGAATCTGTGGTTGTGGTTGTAGTCGTGTGTAGATGCGGCTGTAATCGCGATTTGAATCGTGATTGTAATTGTAGTTCGAGTTTTGATTGTGGTCGACATCGTATTCATGGTTGTAAGTGTGATCGCAGAGGTGTAGTCGTAGTCGTAGTCGCAATCGTTGTCGTAGTCGCCGTCGTTGTTTTTTCGGCGGATGTCGCGGATAAATTCTCATTTTCCACCATTGGTTTGATCCCTGTCCTATCATCAGGTCGCCGCAAAGATATCCGATGTCCAACGATTGGGGGTCGCAAGACGTATCGGGTTTACTTGATCTGGTGTAGCGCCGTGTAGCGTTTGTGGGGCCCGCTGTCGCCACGTATGGACGTAGCTCGGGCATTTGGTGCGCCTGGACCCCAGGGGGTCGGCGGACAGATTTTGAGTTGCCGTTGTCTCCATTCGCCGTGCTCCGACGCACCGTCGTGAAATACTGCACGCGCGACGTTAGCACGCCCGTCTTGGGTCAAAGCAGCGCGAGCAGATCGAACAGGGTTGAGCGGGCGGTCAAGGCGCATGCTGAGCATGCGGTCAAGGCGCATGCCCGCACCCACGCTTTATTGAAGACGAATGCCCAGCAGTTCCCTCATTACCGAAGGTGGTATAGCTTAGCTACCGGTTGCGGATCTCCCTCGGATATCAGATCCGAGAGGTTTATTCCACTCGCGACTTGGCACGCGTTGGACACTCACCAAGGCTTCGCCAATGCACCAAGACAGGCATCTATAAGCGGAACTACCCGTCGATTACACAGGATGCAGAGCATGAGGAGGACGAGGGCTGCGCGGGAGGAGGAGAGGAGTAGGAGAGGAAAGCGACGAGGAGGACGAGGAGGAGGCGGAGTTTGGAAGAGAAGGATGAGGAGGAGCAGGGACGAGGGAGGCGGAGAGTGGGAGAGGAGGATTAGTTCAATGAGGAGGGATGAACCAGGGGGCAGGGAGCAGGAGGAGGAGCGAGAAAGAGCGAGCAGCGGGGAGCCAGGACAGAGAGGGGGAGAATGAAGAGAAGAGGGGAGGACCTCGGTGTCTGGAACCCCCGTAGTCCGATTTTCATGATGTGTACTCATGTCTGCATATATATTTCGGCGCGAGTATGGTGGCGGTCACTCCTTCTAATTGTCCGCCTGGTGGCGGTGGCGAGGGCAAGGATGAGGCACAAGGCTTCCGTCCATCGCGTGGTCGCGAGGAGGTGTGCGAAAATGAGGTCGTCCTTGGACGCGTCGACCAGATACAGACCTAGAGCACGTAATGCCACACAGGGGTGAAGCCCCGACCAGTTCCCTCAGGCCTGCTTTGCTTATCCTTCCCGAGCCGCCTCCTGACGTACCCGCAGGGCTCGGCGAGGCCTCCCGGAGCCGCGGGCGCACGCAAAAGGGGGGGTGACAGCCGTGGGGGCGATCTCGGGGGCGGCCAAGAGGGGGGTGGTGACTGGGGGGGCGGGACATCATGGCGGGGGCCAGGATATCTCCCAAACTTTCATGGCGCCTCTTCTTGTTTCAATGCGTCCCCGGCGCCCACCTGGGCCGCGCACGTGCCGCAGCCCATGATTTGCACCCCCCCTTCTTGGACGCCCCCCTCGTGGCCGCCCCCGACGATAGAGGATTGCAGGCAAGTTGCCCTCGAGAGGCCCTCGGTGGCAGCCAAACTGCCAGCGCAGGCACGCTTCGCCACCCCACCGTCGCAGAGTCCCGACGCCGTGCACTTTTTTCACGGCGTGGACCCCCAGAGGTCTGCACCCTCTCCCGGGGACCAGCTTTTCGCCCCGAGCAGCTTCTCCACGGTGCCGGGGCCAGGTGGGAGCCCCCGGAGGCCGAAAGCTGCCACAACAAGTCAGCCGTGATTCTTGTGCAGGCCTCGAGGGGGTCCGGGTTGATCGTCTCCCCTTCCGGTCAGGAACTCTGGCTTCGCGCGTGACGCCGTCAGTTGAAGGTCACCTCGCCTCGGTGCGACAGGCTGTCCCCTTGCTCACTCCTGAGCGACGTAGCCCGAACCCCTCCCAGCCACCCGCCCAGCTGACAGAGCGGAGCGGCACGCTGTCCTGTCGCAAGGCGCAGCGCCTCTCCAGGGGCCGCCGCCGCGAAACGCTAAGCCAACGTTCCCGACCGCACATCCTTCAGGGCCGCCGGGTCTCAGGGGTGCCCGATTGCTCAAGTCGGGTCCCAGGGAGGCTCGACCCCTTTCCCCCGGGACCGGCTTCTCGTCCTGAGAGTCGTTCTTCATCGGCTCCGAGGCCCGGTGAGGGCCTGCAGAGGTAGAAGCAGATCGAACGTATCAGCAGAAGTTCCGACCGCAGCGAGCTGTGCGTCAGCGGCGACTTGGGTTCAAGACGGGGGCAAATCAAGCAGTGGCGAGGCGTCCTGGCTGGCCAATATAGGGCCGCCAAAGAATGTTCTAAGAACCGCATGTCGTCTGCACGACATGTTCTTAGAACATTTCAGGCCGAGACGATTTTTTTTTTTCACAATTCGGGCTCATGTTCTAAGCACTATGCTTATGTCATTCGAGCATTTGTGGTGTCGAAGAACATGTCGTGGTAGGCCTGTAGTTGGCGGCGCGCGCAAAAGGGTGGGGGGAGGGGAAGGGCTTCTTAGAAGGAGGCTGCTCAGAAGGCGCCGGCCTTGCATCTATAGATAAGGCCCGCGCTTTCTAAGAAGCAGGGGTGCTTCTAAGAAACCCTCCTCCCCTCCCCCCGCCCCCTCTGCGCGCAGCCGAGCAACGGCGGGACGCCTCCGTGGCGACTTGGGCTCGGGGAGGACAACGGGGGGGAGGGGCAGGGCCGCCACAGGCGTCGGGGCACGCGCAGACCTTCTGCAGACCCCGTGCGGGGAGTGCCCGACGTGGGGGCGTGCGCGGAACATAGTTCCAGCTACAGCACGGCGGCGAGCGAGGGGGGGGGGAGGTGAGGAGGAGGAGGAGGAGGAGGAGGAGGGAGGAGGAGGAGGAGGAGGAGGCGAGGGGGGGGGGAGGAGGAGGAGGAGGAGGAGGAAAAGGAGGAGGCGGAGGAGGAGGAGAAGGAGGAGGAGAAGGAGAAGGTCTGCTCAGAAGGCTCGGAAGTCCCCCGGCCTTCTGAGGAGTTTCCAAAGCCCTCCCCGAAGAGACGCCGACATCTTCTCGGAAGGCGCGAGGACTTCCTCCGCCTCACCTTCCCCCCCCCCCTCGCTCGCCGCCGAAAAGTGCGACCGCACTTGTCGCCACAACGCGATCCAGGGACAGGGACGGGCAAGACCGCAGCGAACACTCGAGGGGCCGAACACCCCTCGGACCCGATCGAGCTCTACGAGGGCCCCGCGGCCCGGTTGTGGGCGAACGCAGGGCCTGCTACGCAGCAGCTGCAACGCCAGGATCTCCAGGGGCCCGCGGGAGGCAGGCCGAGCACTGGGAGTCACTTCGGCGCACTGTTTCTCGCCTTGCTGTCCTCCCGCCTGCATTTCAAGGGCCTTTTTTCACCACCCACCAAACCACCCCAACCCAACCCGAAGGCTCAGATTTACCCTCGATTTCTAGTGGGGGGGGGGTCCGGGAACATCGAAAAAACACATATGGAGCCCATACCCCCCCAACCCGAAATTCGGGTCTTCGGGTTGGGGTGGTCTGGTAGGTAGTCACTTTTGGAGGACAGGCGAGGCGCCTGCCCTTGCTCCCGCGGCCAACGCGGGCTCCTGACGCCACGGGTGGCGCGCCCAGCGGCTTGCTCAGAAGAAGAACACTCGGAGGCCCAGATCGGGGAAACGCAAGGCTCGAGTATGCCGGGACCCGGGTTTGCCTGAGATTGTTTGGCGAGCGCGCCCTGTATTTTGGCGGCCCGTCTTTCGTGGGGTGTCTGCAGCGGGAGCTCGCGTCAAACTTCTGCTCGGGCATCGTCATTTTCATGATGGCGCCGTGAGGCCAACCCGAGTCCCCCCGCACCCGAGTCTTACGTCTCCCCAGCCAGAGCGCTCCCGAACGCTCTCAGAGCGTTCCGAAACGCTCTGGGAAGGCCGCGGCGCCCGAGACATCCTCCATAGCCCCAGTCCGAGATTTACGATTTACAGTGGGAACCCATGCCAAGAAACACCCTGCTTGCCTCCAGGGTGCCCTGGGTGTTTTTCCCAACACTTCTGCGTTGGGTTCCCGTTTTGAATAGAGCCCTGCGGTCGCACATTTTCCTTCATTCCTTCTTTCCTTCCCGCCCCCTCTCCCCTGCCCTCCTCCCTCTCACCTTGCTCCCTCCTGCGTGCCAGCCCTCCTCCTACATTGGCCATCCTTGGGGGGCTGCGATCTGCGAAGCTGTCGCAACGTTCCAGGGCTGCTGGGGGTCCAGCGGAGTGACGTTTTACCCAGACTCAGATGAAACCTCGCCATCCCTGGGGGGCTGCGGTCTGCGACGCTGTCGCCAGTTTCGGGGGCTGCTGGGAGTCCAGCGGAGTGACGTTTTACCCATACTACGAATCCATACCGTTGGATCTGCTGCGAATGAAGTTTCTGAAAGTAGGAGTGCCTGTATGCTGGCTCAAGCTGGTGTATAACACGTGGAGGTCACCGCGTGTCATTCGCTTGGGCAAACATCATTCTTGTCACACCTTTATTTGCTGTGTGTGGCCTACCTGCGGGCGACGGCTACAATGATTTGGCGATCAAGGTGCACGCATACGAAGAGTTCGATGAGTACATATCCAGATGCCCTGCGATAGATGTTCTGAACTGCATCGATGACACGGCCCTCAGCAATGGTGCCAAAGATGAGGAGATTGCAGTGAAGGTATCTGTGCACGCTATGGTTCAGTTCCGACGTACTTCTGAGAAGCTCTCGGCTGGTTTCAATTATGAGAAGATGGGCTTGCTGGCGTCCACCCCGAAGCTCGGCCACGCGGTGCTCGACGCGCTAGAGACGCCGCACTCCATACTCAAGCAGAGCGTCTCCTACCTCGGCGTCGACGAGGCTGCAGGAGCCAGGCGTTGTGCAGTAGGGGCGAGAGCCAAGCAAGCCCGACGTTTTTCTGGAATGAGATTGAGACTGAGGAAAGTCAAGTTTTACAAGAAACGGTTTAAGGGTCGAAAAGGTGCCCCATTTTCCAAGATTTGCCTTGCTGGGAGTCACTTCGGCGCACTGTTTCTCGCCTTGCTGTCCTCCCGCCTGCATTTCAAGGGCCTTTTTCACCACTCACCAAACCACCCCAACCCAACCCGAAGGCTCAGATTTACCCTCGATTTCTAGTGGGGGGGGTCCGGGAACATCGAAAAAAAACACATATGGAGCCCATACCCCCCCAACCCGAAATTCGGGTCTTCGGGTTGGGTTGGGGTGGTCTGGTAGGTAGTCACTTTTGGAGGACAGGCGAGGCGCCTGCCCTTGCTCCCGCGGCCAACGCGGGCTCCTGACGCCACGGGTGGCGCGCCCAGCGGCTTGCTCAGAAGAAGAACGCTCGGAGGCCCAGATCGGAGAAACGCAAGGTTCGAGTATGCCGGGACCCGGGTTTGCCTGAGATTGTTTGGCGAGCGCGCCCTGTATTTTGGCGGCCCGTCTTTCGTGGGGTGTCTGCAGCGGGAGCTCGCGTCAAACTTCTGCTCGGGCATCGTCATTTTCATGATGGCGCCGTGAGGCCAACCCGAGTCCCCCCGCACCCGAGTCTTACGTCTCCCCAGCCAGAGCGCTCCCGAACGCTCTCAGAGCGTTCCGAAACGCTCTGGGAAGGCCGCGGCGCCCGAGACATCCTCCATAGCCCCAGTCCGAGATTTACGATTTACAGTGGGAACCCATGCCAAGAAACACCCTGCTTGCCTCCAGGGTGCCTTGGGTGTTTTTCCCAACACTTCTGCGTTGGGTTCCCGTTTTGAATAGAGCACTGCGGTCGCACATTTTCCTTCATTCCTTCTTTCCTTCCCGCCCCCTCTCCCCTGCCCTCCTGCCTCTCACCTTGCTCCCTCCTGCGTGCCAGCCCTCCTCCTGCATTGGCCATCCTTGGGGAGCTGCGATCTGCGAAGCTGTCGCAACTTTCCAGGGCTGCTGGGGGTCCAGCGGAGTGACGTTTTACCCAGACTCAGATGAAACCTCGCCATCCCTGGGGGGCTGCGGTCTGCGACGCTGTCGCCACTTTCGGGGGCTGCTGGGAGTCCAGCGGAGTGACGTTTTACCCATACTCTCACTAGACCTCGCCATCGCTGGGGGGCTGCGGTTTGCAGAACTTTCGCCACTTTCGAGGGCTGCTGGGGGGTCCAGCGGAGCGACTTCTTACCCAGCTGCTGGGTGGCCCAGCGGAGCGACGACTTACTCAGACTCAAACTAGATCTCGCCATCCCTGGGGGGCTACGATCTGCGAGATTGTCGCCACTTTCAAAGGCTGATGGGGGTCCAGTGGAGTGGCGTTTTACCCAGATTTAGATGCGACCTTGCCATCCCTGATGGGCTGCGATCTCCGACACCGTCGCCACTTCCGAGGGCTGCTGGGGGGTCCAGCGGAGTGACGTTTTACCCAAGCTCAGATGAGACTTTGCCATCGCTGGGGGGCTGCGATCTGCGAAACTGAAACTGTCGCCATTTTCGAATGCTGCTTGGGGGTCCAGCATTTTGACGCATTGCGCAGACTCAGATTCGACATCGTCCTTTGGGCTGCGACCTGCGAGATTGTCGCCACTTTCGGGGGTTGCTGGGGGGTCCAGCGGAGCGACGTTTTACCTACAATCATATGAGATCTCGCCATCGCCGGGGGGCTGCGATCTCCGACGCCGTCGCCACTTTCGAAGGCTGCTGGGAGGTCCAGCGAAGAAATGTCTTACACAAGCTCAGATGAGACCTCGCCTTCCTTGGTGAGGTGCGGTCTGCCAAACCATCGCCACTTTCGAGGGATGCGGGGGGGTCTAGCGGAGTGACGCTTTACCTAGATCCGTATGAGACCTTGACATCCCTAGGGGGCTGCGACCTGCGAAAATGTCGCCACTTTCAAAGGCTGATGGGGGGTCCAGCGGAGTGGCGTTTTACCCAGATTTAGATGAGACCTCGCCATATTTGGGGGGGGTGCGATGTGAGGAACTGAAACTGTCGCCACTTTCGAGTGCTGCTGGGGGGCCCGGCATTTTGACGCACTGCGCAGCTCATATTCGACATCGTCCTTGCGGGGCTGCGACCTGCGAGATTGTCGCCACTTTCGAGGGCTGCCCGCGGACCTGGCGGCGCTCCTTCGAGCATTTACCTCCCGCACTGAAAAGTGCAGCAAAGAAACAGGGAAGCTGGCGGGCGAGCTCGGTTCCGCTCGTTTGTTAACTAAGTATAATCAGGTTCGCTAGTTTTGTCGAGCGCCGCGGCGACATAGCGCAGGGAGCGCTGCTTCTTGAACGAACTACCGGCACAAGCAACACTCATCGGTCTCCTCCCGGCACTTTCGTCGTCGTTCTCTGCCCCCTGCCACCTTCCGTCAGCTGCTGCCGCTTTGACGGTTCGGCCCCCCACGCGTCTTCCCCCTGCCCGTCGTTCCCGCCCCGATATCCTCCTCAAGCGTGGGCCCTCGCTCCTCGTCCTTCTGTTGTTGTCCTGTGAGTCGTGCCACGCGAACGCATCCCATGTAGCTTGCACAACATATAACGGCACTTGCACTGTCATTGTCCGGGCAAGTTTGGTTCAAGTCCTCTTGTCACTTGATAAAATCACAGGGTGGCTTGGATTCCGATGGTTTTGCGATGGAAATGGTGACGTCCCCGCACCAAAATACACTGGACGTCCTGGGGGTTCAGGTTTTTTTTGTGGGAGGTGTCTTGTGGTCGATTTTTTTTTGCTCGGTGGGAGGAGAAACGACACCAACACCACCAGAGGGGGCCACCCCCAGCGAGGAGGTCCACGATGCCTCCCCGAACTGGGGGTTCGGGATGTCTCGAGCGAGAGGGGGGGCCACACCACCAGGGAGACCCCCTTTGCTCCTCGCGCCTCCTCGCCCCAGTGGTCTTGGTGTCGCCTATCGCTTCTCCTATACTGCATCCTCACCCGATTTTCTCCTCGTCCTGGCATCGCCTTGCCCAGGGGGCCCCTCCCCCCTCCTGCAGGGGCCACGGCGTGCACGTCGCCGGCGCCACGCCGAGTCTGCTGGGCCGGGCGGGCGAGGTAGCGGCGTGGCTCTCGGAGCACAGGCACGAGGCCGGCGCGGGCCGCCGGGGGCCAGACCCTCGGTTGAAAGTTATGGGAGCCTCCCATACCATCTTGTCGGCTCTTGCGAGTAGACGCCGAATCGACGCCAGCCGACGCGAGCCGACGCTAAATTGGCGACGTCCCACCGACGCCCAGACGCTAGTCGACGTTAAAGGCGGACATGAGGGGGGATACCAGGCTCCCATGACTTGCACCGAACGCGAACGTAGCCATGTCCTCGCCTTCGCGGTTAGGATTCCGGGCCCAGATCCCTTCGGGACATGGAAGAAATCATGGCGGGAGGCCTTTTCCCCGGTTTTCGGCCTTTTCGGTTTTCGGTCTCCAGGGGCCCTCGCCGGGCCCAGGGTCCGTCGAACAACGATTCAGGATGCCAAATTGGTCTTGGGGAATGGGTCGAAACCTCTGGGGGTCGTCGTCATGAAAAAAAATATGACGTTGGGGTGTCTGGGAACCACGTGCTCACAGTTTGGATTCCGGGGCGCGATCCCGCGCTTACGCAGTCGCACGGACGCGTTTTGCACGTGGCATCCGTGAAACAACGCCCCGTATCCGCGGCGTCGCGGCCCAGGGGTCTGGCCCGCGAGGCCGTGGGTATGGATTTGCTAGTCGCCAACGAGGAGACCATTTTTTATTTGGATCGCTGTTGGGGTGCTAAGGGGATAGAGGGTTAGAAGTTGCCGCTAAGATGGAAGCTATCTGGCCTATCCTAGCATATGCGTGGGTCACAAGTACCCTGAATGGTGTAGGGTTGTTTGAGAATTCCGCTAGGTTGGCTCCGCTCACTTCGCCCAGATCTGTACGCCCGTAAGCCACATAGGGAATTTGCAACCCGCTTACAAGATAGGCCAGGCCAGGGATAGCCCACCTTAGCGTCCATTTGCAACTCCCCATCCTCTAAGCACCCCCGCGAGGATCCAAGTACCCCCCAGCGCTGATGGGCGTGACCGGGGGGGGGACGGAGGGGAAGCCAGCAGCGTCACGCTTCGCTCAGGAATTATTAGTTCCAAGACGAGAGGGTCGTTCCCGAAGGCTGCCGCGGTCGGAGCTTCCTCTTCCTCCTACTCCTTCCTCTCCCTTGCCTTCTTCCAACCAGCGCAGGATGGGATGCCAGCGCACAGGCGCGAACGCCCAGCGCGCCTCGTCGCCCTGGCAGCCCCGGGTGTCCTCTCCCCTCTCGCCTTGACGTTCGTCCCTCCCTCTGTGCTCGTGTCCTCGTCGCCGTCGTCCCCGAACCGTAAAGCGTTCCCGAGGGTGCAGGATACTCCGAGGGGGGGCCATCCACCATTTCGCCTCAACCCCGGGTGTACAGTACACTCGAAGGAACGACGTGCCTTCTAACAGTCCGCGCGTCTTCCTCCTCCTCCTCCTCCTCCTCCTCCTCCTCCTCCTCCTCCTCCTCCTCCTCCTCCCCCGTAGCCATTTTGGCTCAAGACCCATGAGTTGGCGGGCTGAGCCCGCATTGGCTTTCACGGATACCGCTAGTCCGCGGCTGTGCCAGGGCGCTTGCGCCCGACATCTGCTTTCGCATGTACTGAGGGGTTGGGCTCCTTCCCAAAAGAGTCAGACGCGGGCGCCAGCATGGCGCCAGGGCCGCCGCCGTCCGCCCCTGCGGTGCTCCGCGGGCCGCGGCGGCCCACTTGGGCATGTGGGCGGTGCTCAGCCTCGGCGAACTGGGCATCGCGCATCCGCTGTCAGTGTGGAAATGAAGCGCCGTTACGTATCAAGAAGGCTACTTGGACCGCTCACCAAGAGATCCTTTCCAAAGGTGGCTCCTCAGGTGGGAAAGGACAAGAAAGCGGCAAGCATAAGGATGAAACGAGTAAGCGTCTGGAGGCCATCGAGAAGGTTCTCCTCGGCAAGGGCGCTCCATCCACAAGTGCGGTGCCTCCGAGGGTCTGGCCAGCGCCAGGCGAAGGGGTACCGCCGTGGAAGCAAGAACCTAAAGCAGATGGCAACAGCATGGACACGGAAGAGGATGATTCTACCAAACGTACGAGGTTATCGAGCCAGATTGCGCAATACGGGTCCATCCTCAAGGCGCTTCCTGGCGATGAGAGTGACCAGATCAAGAAGGCTACGAAGGACAAAGTGGCTGAGCTGCGCGAGCAGCACAAGGCATTGCGGACTCCTACGCAAGCCCACCGCCGTGCACAGCAAGATCTGGGAAAAAGCTAAGTTACACAGTGCGAAGCTGGAGAGTGAGATCAACGAGAAGGAGCAGCAGATCGCCAAGATGCAGGAAGCTTTGGAATCTCGACGTGCGCAGCTCCAAGCTAAACGTGCTGAGGTCGCTACCCTGGAGGCGGAGTTCAAGCGCACGGCTGCATTGGTCGGCCATCCTGCCCCAGACGACGACGCCAAAGCTGCACCCAACTTTGACTTCGATGTCAAGGCCTCGGACGTCAGTGATGGCGATTTGCAGTCCTTCCTCGGGTCCGAGCTGTGGACTAAGTTGCAGTCGGTGCTCAAGAGCAAGTTCGCTGCTGCGCCCCCTCCAGCTCCTGCTCGTGACGATGGCGAGTCTAGCGCTGGGGGCGGGGATGAGTCTGGCCCCAGTGAAGCTCCCAAGCGCACCTTCGAGGACCTGTCCGACGAAGATAAGCAATATCTCTTCGAATCTGATACTTTCGAGGATTTCAACACCAAGCTGGGAGAGTTCGCCAAGCGACAACGACGCGGGTAGCGCGTACGAGATGATGTGCAGGGTGATCTCTGGCATCGATTCAGTTTCATTGTGCGCTGCGAGGAACGCAGAGTCTCTGCTCTCCTCGGAGCCCACCCTACCAAGGTCACAGATGTTTTCTGAAATGGTGGATTTCTCAGATGCAGTACTACCGCCTGTCGGCGCGCATTGTGGCTCGCTAGGTTCCTGCGACTCGCCCGCAATGAGGGTGGCTGAGAGTAGAGGGTACCGACCATCCACGGATGGCACGCACTGCTCACTCTCTGGACCTCGCGGGTCAACTGCAGGGATCAGTGGCGGGTCGCAGTACCGACCTTCAGGCTTGGCAAATGGTTTTGTGGCTGTGAGAGTTTCTGGCGTACCTGTATCGATGACAGGAAAGACGAAGCCTATACTTGCACCACCTTCGCAGAGCACGTGCCTGTTTGAATCTTTCAACGCAAATGGTGGTCGCAATACGCTAAAAGATCGTGCGAAACGTTCATGTGCGCATGCAATCCTGGCTCAAGAGATTGGGTCTGATGCATCCAGCGTCGAGTCCTTGTACACGTGGGCGCACAATCGTGGATGGAAGTTGATTGCAGTTCCTGGTGTGGCTACTGGAGGTAATCCGTCTGCTGGAGTAGCGGTGTTTGCACGTGCTGAGCTTGGGCTGCGTAAGCCCGGGCCTGGACAACACGTTCTGTATCCACATCGACTGCAGCATGTGATGGTAGACCTCCCTGGATGGCCAGCTTATCACGTGCTGAATGGATATCTCAAGGACTCCATCGGTCCCACGGGCATCAACTCCACTATCTTGGCCAAGCTCGGGCAATGTTTCTCCGACTGTCGTGGGCCTTGTATTGCTGGATGTGATTGGAATATGTCTGCGGCAGAACTGGAGTCTACTGGTTTTCTTCGCACGGCAAAGGTCACCATGGCAGTGCCAACTCAAGTTACATGTCGAGCAGGAACGGGATCCACGACCATTGACTACTTCGCCCTGAACGATGTGGCGGCGCGTGGTTTCAGAGGTGTGCAAGCTGAAATGCGATGGGCTAGACGACCGCATCGACCTGTGCTGCTCAGTATCGTGGACAACGGATACAGTGTTCGTCACTTCGTGTACAGCGTTTCGCCATCACTGCCGTCGGCTCCAGTGATAGGACCTACTGCAGCCCCAGCTGACTGGAGCACTCACCGCGCCCTCGCTGAGGCGTGTCTGGCCATGGCGACGGACGAGGCGCAGTCGGTCGAAGCTGTATGGGTTTTTCTATCACGTGTTTGGTCGAAGTTCGCAGTGACGGCAGCTGAGCAGGTGGCGATCAACACTGGCACGGAGTTGAAAGAGCCTGGAGCTTTCGGTCGCAATTTGTCTCCCAGATGGGTTGATGCTACGTATGAGATAGATGATGATACACACGCGAAGTTGATCGCGGAAGGCTGGCAGTGGATGACAAACAGTCTTCAGGCGATATTGCAGCTTTATCGTGGGACCAGCAATCTAGATCAGTGTTCTATCGAGATCGACAGTTTCCTCACGGTGCAGCATCATGGTCAAGGGCTGCATGCGCGCCTCGACTTCTCTGTCAGTCAAGCGCGCGATCTGGCCAGTGGCATCCCCATGAACACTGATGCGATCTCCCAGTTCTTAGACGAGGTGAATGATGACTTGGAGGCAGCGGTATTAGGAATGAATAAGGAGTCTGCGCAGTTGTGGAGTGAGTGGTGTGCCGAGTCAGTTTCCCGCGGTGCGCGTGCCCTTCGCAGACTCACGAAGGTCGAGGCCATACCGGGGCCAGCTCAGTGTTCAGGGCCAGTTGTCTCAGGCAGCCCAGTGGCGATCGTCGAGAAGGAAGTGGAGATGTAGCAGAAGTTGTGGAAGGCAAGTGGACAAGCACCTTATGCTTGGGTGCCAGATCGGAGCACGTGCCCAGTAATGGAACCCGAAGCTATCAGATCAGCGGTCAGAACTTTCCCGACAGGAACGTCAGCTAGCTTCGATCATTTCCACCCTCGGCATGCGCTCATGTTAGACGACAATGCTTTGGAAGTGCTTAGTCTGATTTTTCAATGTTCTGAGGCTATAGGGCTTCTCCCTAAGCAGTTATGTTGGATACAGATGCCGATGTTGGGAAAGCCGTCAGGAGGCAACCGTTTGATTATACTGTATGCTGGAGTGTACCGTATCTGGCAGCGCGCTCGCAGATGGATGGCATCAGGCATCAGTCAGCAGCTTTCTCGTAGATACTGGGGTGCAGCGAAAGGACGTTCGGCACTTGACTGTGCTTGGCTGCAGGCGGCACGAGCTGAGAGCGATCATCACAGCAACCGTCATCACCTCATGTGGGTCATAGATTGGTCCAAGTACTACGAGTCCATACCGTTGGATCTGCTGCGAATGAAGTTTCTGGAAGTAGGAGTGCCTGTATGCTGGCTCAAGCTGGTGCATAACACGTGGAGGCCACCGCGTGTCATTCGCTTGGGCAAACATCATTCTGTCACACCTTTATTTGCTGTGCGTGGCCTACCTGCGGGCGACGGCTACAATGATTTGGCGATCAAGGTGCACGCATACGAAGAGTTCGATGAGTACATATCCAGATGCCCTGCGATAGATGTTCTGAACTACATCGATGACACGGCTCTCAGCAATGGTGCCAAAGATGAGGAGATTGCAGTGAAGGTATCTGTGCACGCTATGGTTCAGTTCCGACGTACTTCTGAGAAGCTCTCGGCTGGTTTCAATTATGAGAAGATGGGCTTGCTGGCGCCCACCCCGAAGCTCGGCCACGCGGTGCTCGACGCGCTAGAGATGCCGCACTCCATACTCAAGCAGAGCGTCTCCTACCTCGGCGTCGACGAGGCTGCAGGAGCCAGGCGCGGTGCAGTAGGGGTGAGGGCCAAGCAAGCCCGACGTTTTTTTTCTGGAATGAGATTGAGACTGAGGAAAGTCAAGTTTTACAAGAAACGGTTTGAGGGTCGGAAAGGTGCCCCATTTTCCAAGATTTGCCGTGCTGGAGTTGCTCCAGCTAGCAGTTTTGGCGCTGAGGTTTCAGGCCCTAGTCAGGCCGAGTGGGGGTCCAACCAGCGAATGATTTGTGGTGCTGACGCCCCCTGTCACGGCGGGGTTTCTTTAACTGCGAAGCTGGTGCTTCTTGGGGACAAGAGCTCTCGTCTCGCGGTGGCCCCTGCGATCCATTGGTGTAGGATGATTTGGGCAGCCTCCACCCAGCCCGAGCGAGCACTAGTCAGCAAGAGCGAGCTTCTTAGGCTCTGGGACTCGGCCCAGCCTCTGCAGGGTGGCCCCTGGAGCTCCTCTCGCGGCCCTATCCGTCGCGTGGTGCTAGTGCTCCAGAGAGCTGGGTGGGAGGTGCTAGGCCCTTTGGGGTGGAATGATCACAATGGTTTCACGGTGAAGATAGATCAGACCCCTCCTGCCCTGTTAGCTGAGATGCTAGAGATTAGTATTCAGCGCCATCATGA